CTGCAAAAAGCAAGAACAACAATATCAGTAATAATAATATAAAATATCAAAGAAAGCAAATAGAGCGGAAGAAGACGCTTAAGAGGCATTGGCGCTGGCAAGACGAATAAGAAGGGCTTCAGCAGATCAGATCAATAACATAAATAGTAAGTATAGGGAACATAAGAAGTATATGTATATATGTAAGTCCATATATGTATTTATGTATAAGAAAATAATTACGGTGTAAGTAAGGATTACAGTCGAAATACCCGATCTCTCAGTCGAAGGCGACGAAGTCAATGTACCACCTCCCGGCCGACCATGATAAGGTGCGAGTAAAAATTCGCCGTCTGAATACCAACAAAGCAACCAGAGCGGACTCAGCTTTCAAGTTTGGTGGTGTGGAGCTGATAAAGCTTCCTCCACCCCCATGTACTGTCATTAGGAAAATCGCTTAGGGAAGTATCTGTTAAGAAATAGAGAATCCTAAATAAAACAGATGAATTGTGCCCTTTGCAGGGTCTTGCTGTCAACAAGCACAAAACAGGGGGTGTAAGTCTTCTCTTTTTAATTGTCTCGTGACATTCCGGCCACAGACGCTGAAGGCTCGGACAAAGACTCCAAATTTAACAAAAACAATTTTCAAATGTCCGGCACATTTATTTCTAAAACTAATTAATAAAGTTACTGTATGGATACATATACTCCGTCACGCCGGAGAACAGATTGGTATTCGGCCCTCAAGAATTTTAGTAGATGGGAGTTGAGCGAGACTACGTGTGACTGAGCAACATCGACAAACACAAGCCGGAGTCTTCTAGGCTTGTTGGGATTGCCAACTTCGAAATGCGGCAAGTACCAGGTCTTCGAATGTGGTCACGCTTTGGCGAATAGTGCGGTGAGGACATTACTCTGCAAAGCTATCCGTATGAAAGTAGCCTGCAATCATGACATCAAGCGCATGTTCAAGCGTATGTTCTACGAAAAGACTTGTTCTTGGCTTCGGCGATGCTGCTGCTGAAGGCCCAAATACCGTCCAGTCGAACTCAGTGTGCGCAGCACGCGGTCCGTTGAGTTAATCCTCATGTTCTCACTCGGAATACCCAGATAACAGTGATCAAGTTCTATAAGTTCTTGAAGCCTGTGATCGGCTTGGCACATGACACATTTGGACGTACTTTACGCTGGTCTTCCGAAGCGTGTAGGACTACACGACACTTAGGCTCTCGAAGTTCTGGCTCTTGAACCCTGCATATTAAATTGGCAGTTTAACTTAACCACTCGCTAAAATGTACTACAGTGGTATACGGTTGTATTGCTAAAGAGTATCGCGTCGATTCAATTCTCTTCGACATTGGCAATTTGTTGATTAGTTCCGAGGTCAGAGTTGGGTTGTCCAAATGCTGGTGACCACCGGCAGACTGCAAAAAAGCCGACAAATTTTTGACCTTGGTAGCAAATGGTATCAGTCTTGCAACTGCACTCTCGGATATAGGGGTGATATCTTTCACTACAGATAGCTGACTCTAAATGAGCTGTTTTGGACGACCGTGCCGAAAACGGAATTGTTCGATGACGGCGTCGACATGGTCCCGATAGATAAAAAGCAGCTTCACCGTCTCCCTAGCTTTACGCTTAAAATATTTTTGAAGACGCACGTGTACCCATATACACACGTAGATTGCGCAAAGGCATTGCTGAGCAGTTGCCAATCTTCAGCTAGTCCACTGAACTCCGACAGGTCTCGGAGTTTCCTTGGCAAGATTACCACAGCTGGTGAGCTCAAGCAATGCTTCACATATGGTGGTGGCAGTGTGTTATTTTCGTTGCTAAGTCAAGACGGCGTAGACGAAATTGACGCGAGCGGTGCGCTGTTCACTGGTGACGGCTGAACGATGACGGTGTTGGCAAATAAAGCTTGACCATAAGAGCTACCTAGGGAAGGATTGGCGGCGACAGTACTAAACCCGGAAATTCTTGAGATCCTAACACCTGCAGCAGTGTACGAACGCGCGACATTAGTCGCTGCTCCGACGGCAGCGGCAGTAGATGCTACGACTTGAGGCGGCTTTGCAGCGCTATTGGTAAGTGAGGCGCCAGGGGTTGAGGTAGCAGCGGCATGTGTGTTGACGGCGAACAGAGCGCCGGTGGCTGGCGCAGCAATAGAGGTGGCGGCGGCATAAGGCGCTGGGGCAAATGAGCATGGACGATGAACGGAGTGCCGACGGCTGGCACAAGTTGGTGCTGCGAATGAAGTATAGTTGGCGACTAGGAGAGCGCCGGCGTTTGACGCGGCGGTTGCGGCAGTAACGAAATAAGGCGGTGCGGTAAATGAAGCAGCGTTAACAGCGAACGGATCATTGGCGGCAGGCGCGGAGACAGAGGCGGCAGCACAGTTTGCGATCGGGTCAGGAGGAGCGCTTGGCATGGCGCGATGAGACGCTAATGCTAAGGCACAAGCGGGTGCGATTTTAGAATTAGCAGCAGCGAAGCTAGCGATGGCGGGTTGGGTCGCACTGGTGACGGATGACATCGCCTTAGAGTCCGCGGCAGCAAAGTCAACGAGGGAGGTTGGCGCGGAAATGTGCATAGAGTAACTCACGGGTCGAATTGCGGTATTCGCATCATGGTTAGGCGTACCGAGGGCGCAATAGCTTGCTCCGGTAATGGTACAGTGCTAGGCACTTGCAGATGTAACGGAACCTGACATCGTACGACTTTACGCTTGTTTTATTTGCCCGTGTTACGCTTCATTCTCCCTAACCTTACCCTGCATCTTTTTGAGTTCGCTTTTCAGCGTCGTAAGGTTCTTCTGAAGCACAGATATGAGGTTGTCCTGTGTCTGAGTATGAGTAGCGTTGCTAGCTGTACCCTCTTGTTGTAGCGCCGGGCCATCTGGAACTCTAACTGCATTTTCTGCACTCGGGCCATACATGTCCTGCAGTGGTTCACTGCCGAAGTTAAAACATACTTATATCAGCGTCTGCATTCGACGCAACCTCCAAAGAATTTACTCCACCTTTTAATTTCTGCTCATTTCAGAAACGTGGACTTTTCTTCTTTAATGACTGGCGTTCCCCCGAAAATTGTATGCCCATTTCTCCCTTGTAGGAACGCTAACGACGTACTTTCTTTCAAAGAAGACCAGGGGCGGATACAGCGGGGGCTTTTGGGGGTTAAACTACGTGTCAGTCAGTGGCGGAAGCATGGGGTGTGTTTTAATATGGCGAATATGTATGTATAATATGCCGTCTATGTATTAAAACACCTCCGTGGGTCCGCCACTGGCTGACACGTAGTTTAACCCCCAAAAGCCCCCTCTGTATCCGCCCCTGGTCTTCTTTGAAAGAAAGTACGTCGTTAGCGTTCCTACAAGGGAGAAATGGGCATAAAATTTTCAGGGGAAAATCGGAAACTCGTTCTATACCGACGGCTCAAACACTCAAAATGGTTCTGTAGTTGAATGTCATCTGAACAGTAACTTCAGATGCTTTACTGCAAGGCAACCGTCTTTTAATCGGAAGTCTTTGCAATACTGAAAATAGCAGACTGTAAAATTTGCGAAAGTTGGCGCGGGCATAAAATCAGGGTCTGTACTGACAGTCCAACTGCTCTAAAGGCCTTGCAAACCGCTCATAAGTCTTCAAAAATAGGCGAAGAATATAAATTGAGGCTGAGATCCGTTGCAAGGTATAATGAACTAGAACTAGAACTTGTGTGGATGCCAGGACACTGTGTTATTCAATGCAACGAACCGGCTGCAAACTGCGGAGCGTCCAATTGTACTGGAGTCAATTTAAATCAAGGATTTCATTAGTAAGTGACGCCTGCAAAACAACCAAGTGTTTCCCGAAAAGTACTGACCTGGTGGTAGTAACATTCTTTCTCAGGTAGCGATAGAGTAATATACGAGCTCTGATCGGATAGATTACGGGACACAATCCATGGGGACGACATGTGTTCACCATAAGCATTATCGACCATCCACTGTGTATATCTTGTTTGAATGATGAGGATAGTGCCGAACATTTGCTTGGCCATCGTCCGTGCTTCGCCACACTTAGACGAGCTATATTCTTTATCTCTCAACAAACTGCTAAAATTCATAACGGAGTCTGGTAAGTGTGCAAAGGATTGATGAAGTCCCACCCTACCTATGTGTACATATGTATATTAAATATTTCAAAGCAATATTTTCTCTCAGTGTATAACTTCTAAACAAGGTATATATTTGTTTGTGTAGCTACAGTGCCACTCGCATTGTATATTTGTTTTGGAATGTTTGTACATACATATATGTATATTCAATATATGTACAACAATAATGCAAGCATTAACGGCCAATTCAATTGTTAAAGGGTTCAGGCCGGTTTTGTGAAGTGAAGCTGAGCTACTTCAAAACCAAAACATCAAACAAGTCGGTGCAAACCACATACAACAACAGGTTATCCCAGCAATGAAGTTAGACAGATACATACATATGTAGAGTGAGCGAGAAGGAGAGAGAGAGGAAAGAAGAACCCGCAGCGCTGGAGTGGCACAAACTGCCCATTAGCGGCATTGTTGAAGACAACAAGATAACGAAGTTGCTGCTGACCACTGACGTATATACATAGGCCCGCATGAATACTTGCAACTGCGCGCATGCGCAACGGCCAACTGCCCAAAAGAGTTGAGATAGGAATTCCGAGAGGTTTCTTACTTACATAAATATGTATGGATGTTGCAGACTTATGCTGCGAGCGACTGCTGCCCTGACGCTCGCTTGGACCAATATTTCCAATATTCCCACGCCTATTTGTTGATGCTGGCATTGTACTCTTCGGAGCTGGTGCTCTCGCCTGCGCTCTATAACAGTGTCTGGTGGCTGCACAAGTACGCTGTTGAGGAGCAGCTGAGACGAGCTGGTGGTGGCTGCACATTGCTGGTCGCTCGGTCGCTCGGTCGGTCAGGTCGATTTGTTTGTTTGCCTTGCTTTTAGCTTTTGACTTTCCAGCGTCGGTTGCTGTGCGAATGCCTGGCGCTCCGTAATTTAGTACTCAGTTGTTGTGCCCGTCAAGCGAACGTGTTCGGTTCATCATAGCGTGTGCGCTGTACTGTAATAGATACACAAGCCGTCGGAAAATTCTATGTTTGCTACAACCACCGCCACCACTACCATCATCGTTTGCCAACATCACCACAACCACTAAATTCATTAAGCCGATATGTGTGCGTTGTGTATGTGTAATTGCCTGCCAATGTATTTTCAGTAAAGCAAAATGTAGTGAAGTTTTCAAGTTAAAGGCAACTAAAATACGGCAGTATCAGTAGAAAAAGTGGTGAAAAATTTCGTATGCTGTGAAAATTTTCAAAAAAAAAAAACCCCAAAGAAACATTGTGCAGTTCGGTGGCAGAAAGGTGAATGCAATGAAATAAATAAGTAAATGTAATTAAAAATGTCAACAAGCGGGGCTATCGGAGCGTGCGATGTTGTGTAGTGGCGTTTAAGGGTGGGAAAATGTTGTGTATCGCCATAGCGTGAAAAAATTCCGAACGTGAAAAAGTGACATAAATTATTGTCGAACGCTTAGCGCGCATGGGAAAGGATAAGGATAAGGAATTTCTGTGTTGGTAGAAAGAAAACTTTTTTTCTTTGAATTGCACGACTCCTGGGCTAAATTATTTATGCACATGTGCCGCCTTGATATATTTTACACACAAAACACAGATTTTCACATGTATTTATGTATGTATGTAGGCATGAAGAAGTATGTATTGGGAAAAACCAGCAACAACTCACACACAAACGCCAATAAGTGGCAGGAAAACCGTCAAGAAAAATTCTACACAGCCAAAGTCTGCAAATACTTTTTGCACGCAATACTGCCGCCGTTCGCCGCGCGCCGCACATCGCAGATCACACGACGTTGCGACTCCGGTTTTCCATGTTAGCAAATATGTATGTATGTATGTATGTATGTATGTAGCCAGGAGAGGAGACAGCCGCACTATAGCGAGTTACAGTGAGCAAAAAACCCAACAAACGGGCGAAAAACTGCAAAGGCTACAATGCGCCTTGCGCTATAGTGAGACACTGTAGGTAGATATATTTGCGCATATGTATGTATGTTTTGAAAGCGTACTGAGGACCACACCCGCGCGCGTGCACAGGTTTGAAAATTTCGGAAAATTTTCCAGTTTGGCAGCAGCCGCCAGCTACAACAGCAAGCGATAGAACATAGCAGACGGGCAAGTCGGCTAAAACGCCAAAGAGGCAGCCAGCCAGCCAGTCAGCCTGTTAGCCAGCATGGCAGACGTCAGTCGAAGCTGGAAATTGCAAAAGTAGAAAGGAATTTTAACAAGAACAAGCATTAACAGTACCCCAAAAAAGGGGTGGCGGGGGGAGGGGGGAATGGGCACAAAGTAGAAGCAACCAGAGCAGCAGAAACGGCGAGCAAAAGCAGTGGCGCACACAGAGTGCAAAATTATATTACAACAAGCTGTGCTGACAAGCAGGAAAAACATGTTGTGTTGTTGGTTATGTTGAAGCACAGCGCGCCACAAGCAGCCTAACAAAACATACAAAAACACATTTGCATATAAGTATTCTTATGTCGCACACAAGTATTGTATGTATGTATGCATGCATGTGTACAATTGCATACAATTGTGTATATTTCTTTGTGAACGCTTCTTAGCCGCATGTAACAGCCACTTTAAGTGTCAACTTGCACAAACGCGCATATCCTTTTAGCCCACAAAATCGTCACCCTTTCGCACAACAACTTTGTGTACTCGTATGTAGATATGTATGTATGTACATATGTATGTGGTAGCGCACAGCACGCAAGCAAGTTTGGCCAATACCCAACCACCCCTCCCACTGTCGCTCAGCTGCCATCTGTACATCGATTTGCAGCGCACAAAATGCGGCAACTCTGCACTCAGCTGGGTGTTGTTTTTGTGCAGAAATGAGCGCATGTGAAAAAATATATATTTTTTTTTATCAAAATTCTCGTAAAAAAAATAATATTCGGGGCGCTGCTCTTTTATCCAAAACTCGCTCGTTTCGGGCTCCTGCTGTTTCCATCGACAGCTTTGATTGCTCACGTCTTTTACAGGAGCTGCTCAGTTCTCGCGCAAATTTTAATTTATCTACTCCCAATTGGAATACGCACCGCCGATGATTTTACTCTGCTACTCACATTTTTTGTTCAATGCTCCTTCTTATGTTTCATTGACGAATTTCCGTACGTAAATTTTCTCTTTTACCTTTTGACTTCTGACGTTTACGCTTTTACAAGGCACCATCGTTTTCATTTGTTCGTGAATTATCAGCTGTTCATGAACTGTCAAACTGAGCAAATTGGGGTTAATGTAGAGTTGACCCCTTATGAAATAAATTGTTTGCCAGATTTAAAGAAAAGCTCAGAGACATCGTAGATATTAAGATTAGTAGTATTCTACAAACGCAGCGAGTTGTTGTAGGCGCTTCCCAGCACGTTCTTCAAAATTTTCTTTAAAAAGCAAAGAAAAACGCTTCAGCTAAAGTAGTAAGGAAGTGAGGACAGCGTGACATAGAAAAAGTTAATGCGGAAAGATCTTTGCGACCATGTCTTGGCAAGCATGCTATCTACTATTAAGGGTATTCGATTATTCGCTTTTTTCGAAAACAAGCTTTCGAGATATTCGCAAAATGGCAATTTGAAAAAAAAAAATCGATGCCCTAGTTTCAAATTTAGAAAAAACCGTATAAATCAACTAAAAAGTTATCCCAGCGCCGCATTAAAGGCAGGGCCGATGGGGCCGCTACTCAGCTCCCCCACATTTGGGGAGCCCCACATGTGATGACGGTAGGTTTCAAAAAGATTTGTCAGCACCATCAAATCATCGTGCGACCCCTAGCTTAGCTTCTTCTGGCTCTGGTAAATTTCTCGACTCACCCAATAATAGAAATTCCTATGGGATACTGGAACTAATAGCTCAGAATGACACCCTTTTGGCCGGACATATCAAAGTGTACAAAAATAAGGGATGAGGGCACATGTATTATTTATTCTCAACAACCTGCGAGGAAATAATAACTTTGAGGACTGAGAAAGTATAGGCGGAAATAATAAGCCGGATCAAAACGACAAAATACTCGTACTATTCTACCTCTGCTGATATACGAGACTGCCGTGGTCAGTCCTTTGATACTGCATGCAACATGAGTTGCAAGTACAAAGAAATTCAGACCCGAATTTCAAAAGATAAAAGATGACCAGAAACACGTGTTTAGAAGTCAAGAAGTCAATAAATAACGATACCGTTAAAATGAAAATATAATTTTTTTCCTAATTAATTGTATGCAATTATTAACTTAAAAAGGGGACCGCCCATTTATATGGGCCCGAGCCCGCACAAACTTAATCCGGCCCGGAGGTAACCGGATTTTTTTTTAGATATTTTGTTTGCAGTCATATTTATTGTTAGTCAGAGATCATGATCAAAATTACAATCTGACAAATATAGACTAAGCTTTATTTGAGAAATCGATTAGGCACAAATAGAACGAAGTATTTTGGATTACAAGTAAAATAGAAAAAAAAATTAGCGAACAATTCACTCTTAACAAGACTAGATCGCTTAAAAGACAGCCCTATTTCGGAAAAAGCTCGAGCATGTAGAAACGACGGTCTTCGGAATGAGAGTACACCATCCGCTGAACCAGACCTACTATACAAATATACTCAATTCTAGACAGGCCATTCATCGATAACACTGGTCGACGGCCAAAATTTACCAGAGACGCCGTTATGAAATTCGTATGTAAAATCACCCCCTGATTCCGAAAATCAAGGTTATTTTTAATTTTATGGTACCGTTTTTGAGATATTTGCAATTTACCGTTTTTGCAAAAAAAAAAAAATTGGGTCCACTTAATCATATATATCTCAAGAACGAATTAAGCAATTCCAAAACGGTTTGAAGCTTTTAAAAGGTAATAAAATTTTCTATAAACTGTGCATACAACACATTTTGCTAGGCCCTGTAGATTCAAAGATAACGAACAATCATTACCGATTTTTTCAATTTTTTTTGTAAAAATATAAAAAAAAATTGTACTTTGCGGGGAAGGATCTCGAAAACCTTTTATTTTTTTGCAGATTTTTTTTTTCTCCCTAAGCTCTGTTATATTACAAAAAAAATAAGGTATCATCGAAGAAAATCGATGCAAAACTACGTAAGTTATAAGCGATCAAATAAAAATACCCAGGTTGCGCAACTTCAATGTATGTACCTATACATACATACATATATTAAAGGTATAAAGTGCAAGTGAGATATTATCCGGATAAACGAATAACACCATAACAATGATAACACTTTTTCCTTAAATAAATCAAATAGTACTTTTAATACTCGAATTGTATTATAGTAGGTAGAGTGGTTGCATCGAAAGGAAGAGTGGTTGGGTTCGAAACCTGCTGTAGGCATGTAGTTATAAACATGTATTTCCGTCAGTTATGGGTAAGTATGCAAGTAGATTTTCAAAATTATAAGACACGGAAAATTTCTAAAGCCTACATCTAAAACAGGTAGTATTTTCTTTTCCCGGCTTGTTATAAAAAGGAACCTTTCTGTCTAGGTAAGATTTGATTTTTTTAATTTTATTCTTGTTCCGAGTATAAATATGAGTTAATGCGCTTTGAAACTTCATAACATCTTCAAGGCTCGCCGGAGATAGTTCAGTTCATAAGTCTAATTTCAAAACCGTGATTTTGGAATTGCTTAATTCGTTCTTGAGATATATATGATAAAGTGGACCCAATTTTTTTTTTTTTGCAAAAACGGTAAATTGCAAATATCTCAAAAACGGTACCATAGAATTAAAAATAACCTTGATTTTCGGATTCAGGGGGTGATTTTACATAAGAATTTCATAACGGCGTTTCTGGTAAAGAGAAAAAGTTGAAATTTGTGGTCCAGTGTAATCAATAAACACCTCTTACTCCTTTAATTCCATCATCGGAGACCAATGCAGATGAAGAGCTTGAGTTGATTCGTGAGGGTCGCGATACTTTGATGCAACTCCATTCTGGATATTGTCCAGGTTGAGCTATTCAGTACAATTTGAACAACATTCTGTCTGTTACTATTTTAGACAAACTTTAGTAAGGTGCTACAACAAAAAAAAACAGCGAATGACTTTCTTTCGGTATACATTTTTAAGTAATTACTAGGTAGAAAATGTTCAATAAAATAGATATTAAGAAAATTTTAGAAAACCCCGGTTTGTTCGATAGCAAAAATTCATAAATTATTTGAAAATTCAAGATTAAAAAAAAACGTCCAAAATATTAAAAAAAAAAATCAGTTGAGTTTGCCACCACAACCGCTTGGGCCCGCGCGAATTCGTGCCAGTAGCTCATTTCGAGTTCAGACAGGCCCTTCTGCACTTAG